TGGGGCAGCGACTGCAGCCAGCGCAGCTGTGCGAGCACTGGAGAAGGTGACGCTGCTGTGAGGAGGTGACGTGGCCAGGGGTGCAAAGGGCCAGCACCCTTGTGTGTCTATGGGGGTGAGGGCATGGGGGGGTTTTGGCAAGATCTGGGAATTCCTGCCCACTCCAGGGTCCCGTGGAGCTGTCGGCAGAGGAGTTGTCCCCAAAAGCTCCGTTTCCAAGGCCAGGCGCAGGGAAGGAGGCGGCCGGGCGGGTGCACTGCGAGCACCAAGCACAGGGTGGCACTGGGCCTCCATGAGCTCGCAGCCGCGCCGGGGCTGGGCCGGGCCCGTGTGTCCAGGAGGGAACCGGGGGCTGTCACGGCCGAGAGGGAACAAACGCCCACCCTGATCGCCCGGCGTGGGCCTGGAGGTGCCCCCCTTCCTCCCCCAGTCTCTCCAGCCCCCATCCAGCAGGACAAGGCAGGGAGCCTTTCCCGTTGCCAAGCAGAGCACAGGGTCTTGCCAGAGGACGAGAGCTGTGGCTGCCCTACAGTGACACAGGGCTCCCTGAAGGTCCTCACCCCCAATCCCACCACCTCCTCCTTGCTCCACCAAATCCCCACATGGAGAGCAGCCGCTGCGAGAGCCCAGGCAGAGGAAACAGTGGAGTTTTATTGAAGCTGCCGCAGAAAGGAGCCCGTGCAGCCGGGCAGTGGTGAGCGGAGCTGCCCAAAACCACCCCGAGGGCGCTGAGGGAAGCTCCGGGGGGAACCGCGCAGCTACTGCGCCCGTCGGGCCATCAGCATCTCCCGGATGTTGTCTTCTGCTTCCTTCACGCTCCGCTCCAGGTACGACTTCTTCTGCTGCAAGAAAACCCAGAGGAGAGTTAAGGTCCACCCCAGCACTGCTACAGCAGCAGCAACCATGTTAACTGTGGCGAGGAAGGGGAAGGAAATCAGATCCTGTAATGCTTGGAGCTGGGCAAGGAATTAATGACCATGGCAAGGCCTCTTTATGGAGGCTACAGCAAAATCCTTTCACATTTGGGTAGAAAAAGGCTCTTTTTTTTTGCAGCTGGGTCAGTTTTCTAAACCCAGACCCTCCTTTCTATCAGAAATTCCCTGGCACCATCATCAAATACGTGTGTTCCCTTCATCATCTTTAATTAGGCGAGGCTTGGCAGGGAAGCGGCCCAAAGCCGTGCATCCCAAGACAGGAATTCAGCACGCAGCGATTTTTTCCTGCTGCTCCGGGTGCTCCGTAGGTGACTGGAAAAAGCGGCGCTTGGCTCTTTGCAGTATTTTTCTCTGGGTTTCCCAACGACAGACACAACAGTCCCGGGTGGACGCGCAGGCAGGACTCAGCTCCTTCAATGGCAGCGGGGACAGCGCCGCTCCAAACGCATTTCGCTATGGGCTGGGGTGGCTGCCCGGAGCTGGGCTTGTGGGAGAGAGGGGACACAGGGGCTCTGCGGGTGGAGCAGAGCAGCACCCATGGGTGCGGGTTGCTGTAAAAGCACACACCGGCCTCCAGCGAGCAGCACCCTCCTGCTATGGGGAGTGAGACAGGGGAGCTTGTGTGGGGCAGGGGACACAGCCACTGCTGGTGATGGGCAAGAACAGCCAAGCTGACGCTCCCTGACAGCCCATGGGGAGCTGGGACCTGTAACACCAAGGGCAATTCGTTAGCGCGTGGGCCAGCCCTGTTGCCATCGCTCCCCGTCCGTCCCCTCGCAGCAGACCTGGGTGACGCTGCTGCGCGCTCAGTGAAATGCCTGCGCCATGAGGACATCGCTTCCAGCCCCGCTCCTGAAGACTGAAGGGCTTTTATTTCGGCAGCAAAGGTTGCGAGCGACAGCTCGGGCCGGGGGGACGCCAAAGGGCTCCTTGTCCCGCGCCCGTGGGATCCCCCTCGCACACAAGAGCTGCTTTTCAGGAACCCGCGGGTTCCCGCTGACGCACGAGGAGGCCCCGGCCACCACCGCCAAGACGTGGAGGGATTTTTTTTTGAACCCGACGGCTGTGAGGGCAGACGGGTCCTGGAAGAGCTGCGTGGGTCCGAGCTCCAAGAGTGACATTCTGCTCTGCGTTCATTTGTACCCAAACCTTTCTTTTTAATGCAGTTTGTCTATGAAACGGCTCTGGCTTTTTGTCCCCTTCCCACTGTGACCCTAAGCAGCAAGAGTCACATCTGGAGAGCTGCTCCATGGGGACCTCAGGAGCACTGGGAGGATCTGGGCTTGTCCCACCACCTTTAATCCATCCTCCTGGAAGTACCCTCCGGGCAGACCCATCCCTGGGCTGGAGGAGCACCCCCTGAGCACCGAGGGGAGCCCCGCACCCAGAGGGTGCAAACCGCCCCAGCTCAGCCACATCACGGGGAGCGAGGAGCAGACGGTCGCTGCATTTTCCGAGCGGCGTGGCGGCTGCGAGGCGTTCCCTGCCCGCGCAGCTGAGACCCGGGCTCTGCTTTGGTAATCACGGGAGAAAGAGCAGGAGCTTGCGTGCAAACCCCTCCTCGGGGCGATTACCGGGGTCTAGACAGGAAACCCGGCTCTCCCCAGTGTGCGGCTGAGCGGGAGCAGCGCTGTGA